CAAAGCCCTCAGATCCAAAACACGGTGGTAGTCCAGTTCAGTGTCCGCAAAAATGGCAACTTTTGCACCCCACTCCCATGCCCGAGTGCCTGGCTTTGATTACTCAGTGAGGGTCATTCACCTCAGTGACAGTTCCTACATGTCTCCCCACGAACCTAGGTCGCAGGCATGGGGACCTGGGCAGCCACGATCCATGTATGCTTTTCGGGCATGTGCACGCTTTTATCAGCACAAGCTGACCAGCTATACTTGGGCAATTTGCAGGTGTCTCCGCAGAGTCCTTATCTTCCTCTAATGGTGCCCGGAGCTGTTCGCTCGCCTCCATGGAGATTCATGCACAGTTCTCCATAGTTTCCATTCGCAGGGTGTGGTGCCTGCAATAGTTCCCTTCCACTCACAGTCATGTTTGATCTGTAGTTTGTTCTCGTTGTTGTTGTTTTTCTTTCTGTTGTCGGAGTGTGCCAGCTTTGTGGGTGGGGAGGGTAGCAGGGTTCTGAACTTTGCTCTCTTTTCGTTCTCTCTTTTCTTTCCTCTTCGGGCAGTTTGCCAGAGTCGCCCATTTATCTTCCGTGTCCTGGTTTTTACAGGGACCTGCCACTTTTCCTCCCTATTAGCTTTTTTTTATGGGAGGACTTACTCGCAGAGTTTCCTCACCACCATGTTGATCTGAATCTCCTATTAAAGTTCTATTGAAGAGCTTGAAACAGTTCCTGCAAGACAAATACATATTCCTGAAAGGAACAATTTGATATTGCACAGATATTGGCCCTTCCACAATTAATTTGATAGTTAAAAATATTTCAATCAGATTTCAAATTATGGTGTTTTCTGTATAATTGTTGGTGTCAATTGCTGTAAATGGAGAATGTATCTTAATTTTAATAATGAACCAGAGACATGTTACAGTGAGGCTGATAAATTTTAACTACCTGGGCTGTCATTTGCACAGGTTCTTTCCAAGCCCTTAAAGGAGGCCTTGGGAAAATTTGCAAATATAACTTATGTAAACCCTGGCCCTTGGGGTAGGGTGATGGGCATGGTGGTAGCCACATTTAGGATGCAGCTGGGGAGTGGGGGTCAATAACATCTGCATGTCATACCCATGTACACATGTTCTGAGTCTGTGCCCTGCTTCTGAAATTCTCTTTGAGGTTGCCAGGGACGACTTTGCTCTTTAGAACTATGTAGAGGAAAGTGAGGTGAAAAGGTTGGAGTAATAGCTGATAGCAAATGCATGCTCCCAAAAAGCTAGGTGTTCCTTGCATCACTCAAACCTCCCTCTTTTGCCCCTCCTCAGGGCAAGTGGGATGGATTTTAACATCACCATTAGGCACACCAGATTGAGATTTGTTCACATCCCTCACAAGCAGCTGATAATTTGCCATTAAGCAAAGGGGACAGTTTCATCTTGGGGTTACTTCTGTACTTTTATGGTATTCCAGAATTTTTTTTTAAATAACCACATATTGAGATGTATTTTGCCTACCATAAAATTTACCAATTCAGTGTGTTTAGTGAATTCACAGAAATGCATGACCATCATCACTATCTAATTTTGTAGCATCTTCACCCCAAAATGAAATCCTGTACCCACTACACAGTCACTCTCTAGACCCCCTCTACTTCACCCACGGGAACCACAGATCTACTCTCTACCTCTCTAGATTTGCCTGTTGTGCGTGTTTCATACAAATGAATCAGGATGAAGTGGCTATGTCTGTCCCTTCACCAGTTGGTACAGTTTGGTTGTTCCCACATTTTGGCTAATGACTTGATGCTATGAAATCTTGTGTTCACGTTTGGTGTGAATGTGTTTTTTTTCCTTCCTCTTGGGTACACCCCTAAAAGTGGTGTGTATGTTTGACATATTGAGGAACTGCTTTCCAAAATGACCTTCACATTTTACATTCCACCAACAGTGTGTAAACGTTCCAGCTTTTCCATATCCTCTCAAAGACTTGCTATTTTCTTTGAATTTTTTTATAACCATCCTAGTGGATGTGAAGAGGTAGCTCATTGCAATTTTGATATGTATGTCCCTAGCGACTAATTTGTGTGTTTATTGGCCATACATATATCTTCCTTGAAAAAATATGCATTTGAATTCTTTGCCTGCCTCATTCCAGCTCACCCCATGGCAATTTTCATTTATTCCCTGTGCTCCTGAAAGTACTGAAGTTGTAAATTCACCTCTAGATGGTGGCTTTCAAACTTTCAACCCAATCTCTGGGAAAGATATTTTTCATTCCAGAATTAGGACACATCTGTATATACTGGAAATAACACAAAAAATTTTACTGGGATTGTGTATGATGCCTTCAGATGTATGTAAATATCTATGCCTCTCATATATTCTATGTATCTCATTTAAAACTGTCAGACATGATCTCACAAGTGGATTCTAAAGACCCAGTGTTTTAAAAGCAGTGGTATAGATTACCCCACCCCCTTTAAAAAGATAATGCCAGAAGAGGTTGAATGGTGTGCCTACTATCTACAAACCAGGCAAGCAACATATTGTGATTCAGCAGTAACCTACACACTGCAATTCAAGAGTCCTTATAATGTTCAACATCATTGAGTTGAGAAATCTCTGAATTCAAAATTTTAAAGAAGAAGCTGGCACAGTTTCTAAACAATAGAGAGAGGGTTTTGTGACCCAGCTGTAAATCCTATAATATTCAGAAGTCTGTACAATGTCCAATAAACCTACAATAGCTCTTAATCGCTGTGACCTCCTCTGCTAATGGTGGTAAATTTGTCATTGATGCCTGAAGCTGCACCCAAGCTGTGGGGTATTTGTGTGACATTAACATCAAGAAAATATCATTTTTCCATAGCATCAGGAAAAGTATTATTATACTTGAGCAGTTTAACAATCACAGACAAGAAATTGATCACAATTACCACAGCGGAATTTATTTTTTCTTTCACAGAAATAAAAATAAATTTGGAGACAGCTTCATGTTGCATCTTTTAAATCAATGCTGTCCTCTTTCCCTCTAAACACTAAGCAAAGTAGGTCAAACGCAAAAGACAAGGAAGCTATCACTTAACTCTCATCATTCAAAACAAATACCACTTTTCACAGACAAAAGGCTTTGCAGAGTGTAATTCTTCTCTAAAGCTGCTGCCTCTTGACCTGCTTTATCTGAAGCTGAAAGAACAGGAAGAAGAGTAACCCAGATGGGGGTGAAGAAGGGGGTCCTTCAAGGCCAACCATGTTGACATGGCACAGATGCTAATCAGTGAGCCCCCCCCCTTCCCTTCCGTAGCAGCCAAGGGCTAGAAACTCACAAAGGACAGCCTGCCAGAGAGCCCAGCCCAAAGAGGGAAAATCTTTCAACCCAGTACTTTGAGTAAGGGAGGTAATTTTATATTTTTTGGCACCACAAGAAAAGCTATGGTTAACATTAACGGAGAAATTACTATGACCTGGAATGCTACTAAGTACTGTATAATGTAATCTGCTAGTCATTTGGGGTTGCTATTGTTTCTGGGTTTGGGGGCTCCTTGGTCCTTGACTATGGCTGTGAAAGAATTCAAAGCTACATCTAGGCAAAGCAAAATTTATTTAGCAACAATACACCCAGAAGGAGGTCTGGGTGGACAGAGTCCATAGAAGAACAACAATTGCAAGGAAATTCAGGGGAATCCTGGCTAAAATGGGGTGCAGAAGGGTGCTCACTCCATCCTTTTCTGGAGTTTACAGAACAGGCTTTCCCAGGATATTGGTTTATGGAGCTGAGCTTAAGAGCATCGAGAGCAACAATGTCAAGTTATGAGAAAGCAAGTATCCCTGAGATTTGACAATAATTTCATGGAATGATCCACTGTCAGAAAGCAAAAGGCACATTGTGCTCTATTTCAGTCTTTGCATGAAGGAGCCATGCTGGCAATGATGGGCAAACAGGGAAAATGATTGAGAAGTCATTGTCTATAAGAGGTTTGCAAAATGATCTGTTTAGTTAGCAATTTTCAGTCACTTTATTAATGTGCTAATATGAATTTGTGTGAGTCAATGCAGTCCTTTTTTATTCAGGATAACTCATCAAGGTGGAGCATGTTTCTCCTACTTCTTCAATCAGACTCTGTAGGAGTCAGCGAAGAGTTGTCCTGTATTTGGTGACAACATGGAATCTAGAGTTGCTCTTTTGTAGAACATGCCCCATGGAGTAGACCAGTCAGTGTGCACAGAAGTCAGTGTACCAGGTCAGCCCTCTGATCAGGTCAAAGAGCTTCAGCCCAGAGTCAACGGTGTCCAAGTTCTGTTCAGCTGAGGGGAGGCAGGGGTTTAGACACAAGCATTAGGTCAGCCTCCGGTTTGGACTTAGGGTACTGCTAACAGCACCAGATAGAGTGAGCACAGCCCCTGTCTGTGACACTTGGCTCTACACATGTTGCCGGCACGGGGTAGCAGAAACATGAGAACATCTTGCTTCCTGGAGTAATTAACAGGATGGTAACTGGTTTCTGGGAAAAGTCAAAGTTCAATGATCAGAACTGGAAACTGATGTCAGAGAAACATAGACTGCCATTCCTCACAAGTCCTGGAATGACTGCCTTATTAAATCTGTTTGTCCTGAGATCTGGATGGACTAAGCTCTGGGCCATGGTAGAAGGTGTGATGGGTGTGGCCCAGGCAGAGCTCAGGCTCTGAAACTACTGACCCTCTGACTAGTGCCTCCACTCTTTGAAGGTCAACTATAGCAAGGGCTCTCTAAGAGTAAAGAAATAAAGACAACATCCACACTGTGTGCTATGTCCATGATGAGCTTGGCCAGGCTTGTGGCTGGGGAGATCTTGATGGGTGAGGACCTGCTGCAAGAAGCCTCTGGGTTAGGGGGACTTCTGTTCATTAATTTTAGAGGTTCAGTGTATTTGAGGAAAATTGGAGAATAATGCCTAAAATTTTAACTTTTGTTAAGTGATTAGAATGATAATTTGGACTTTAATGTTTTATCAGCCTAAAAATGTTAATATTGGTTCTATATTTTTAGATGGCTACCCCAAAGAAGAAATGATTTATAGATGGCGAAAAAATTCAGTTGAGGCTGCTGATCAGAAATCATGGCGGCTTTATCAGTTTGACTTCATGGGCCTCAGAAATACCACAGAAATTGTGACAACATCTGCAGGTAGGAGTTAAAGAAGTATAGCTCTCAAAAAAATAATCTGATTTTCTTTCTCCTAATCTGTAAGACTATTAATGTAGACTTCCTTCATGTGTATGTTTTAACTAATTGTATTAGGGCAACCATAATAACTCAGTAACATTTGAGGGAAAACAATTGATTCAAAAGTGAAATTGTTATAATTTAAAAAGTGCTTCAGTTGGGATGTGAATGGGGTGATTAGAATTGCCTTATATTATGAAAATAGGACTATCTCATTATATCTGTACACCTAACTGGGATTACTTGATATTGATTTTTATAAACGAGCATACTAATGGTGAGAGTTCTACACCTTCCCACATACACAATAAGAATCAAATTGTGGAGGAAGCATGAATAGAAATATTTTGTGGTGGCTTTTACCCATTTACGAATCACCTACATTAATAATGTAATTCTACTCCATGAGAGGTTGAATTATACCAGTAGACCTTTGGGGTGTAAGAAAGTCCAAAGGAACTTAACCAGAGCATTAGTCTAGTGTTTAAATGCCCAATGTTGAGGCTACTGCTTTTCCTTTCCTGGTGTTCCTGTTGGATAAGAGTAAATGAAAGGAAATGCAAAGGTAAGTATAATACAACGTCTCCAGAGTTTTGAAATTAACTTTAATAAATTACTAGTACAGAGAGTGGTAAATGGAGGGAGGTAATAATGAGTAATTATTGTATTTGGTGTTATTGTGGGAAAAAAGCACAAAAACATTTACTGACCACAAGGAATTTTGAGATTGACTAGAAAACCATAGCAGTATAGGAGAGCAAAAATCTGCCACCCCAAAATTTGTCTTTGGCAAGAGGTATCTTTCATCAGTGGAGGTTTGAAGGCTGGTGGAAGTTGCTTTGACATTTATCTGCAGACTTCTCCTGCAAGGGCCTCTCCCAGGAAGACCTAGTCTTGTCTCTTTGCTAAAGAAGAGACATGATCTGTATTCCTTTGTTTTCCAAAAAGCACCTAACTGGAACTCACTCTTTCTTCCCCCGACCTCTCTATTTTAGCTCTGCTGCTTAAGATAGTCTAAAGCCACATGAGTGAGCTACTCAGTCATCCTGGGTCTCCCCCAAGTTCACAGGAAGTGCACATGTTATTGTTAAACTTCTCTATGACTTTTTCTCTTTCAATCTGCTTGATGCTTTTTTTGATTATTTGCCAGTCTAGATGAACATAAAGAGTTATGGGGTGATTTCACTTGGACTTTGACCATAGACATGAGAGATTAATGAGCTCCTGTTGCTGAGCTTATGTGTTCTAGTCCTGCTCCTTCTTCCCACACCAGGAAACGCTCCAGCACAACTCCCTCACTCTTATACCATATTTTTTAGTCTTTGCTAAATTGTCTACCATCAACTTAAAAACAGACTGTCATTTCCCTTGCCTTAAAAAAAAAAAACAAAAACGATGGTTTCAGAAACAGAAAATTATAAAACATAGCCATCCTGCAGGGGAGGAGGAGGGAGAGGGATCAGAGGGAGTGAGGAGCACAGGGGACTGAGGTGATGGTGCACAGGTGCATTGGGGAAGGAAATTCTATGGGGACTCAGTCTGAGAGGGTGGGGGGAAAAAGTAAACATTGTTTAAAAATGAACAACAATGTGGGCCTCCCCGGTGGCGCAGCGGTTGAGCGCTGGGTTGCGAAGCTGTCCGCAGCCTCGGCAGCGCCGGTTCGATCCCCGGCTGCTCCCCGGCCACCAAAGGAGGGTCCCACATGGCGCGCAGACCTCTCCTGCCGCCCACTGCTCCCCTCAGCAGTGTCCTTCGGTCCTTCTGCCTGCTCTGCTCCCCGCTCTGGCTCTGGTGAATTCTCTCACCCTCCCGCGCTTCTGACTGTACCCAGTGCTTGCATAAATAAATAAATAAATAAATCTTTAAAAAAAAAAAAAAATGAACAACAATGTAAAAAATACATAAAAAGAATAAAAAATTATTAAAAAATAAAAAAGAATGTAAAAAGAGAGATGGTTTCAGTAGATCTCCAGCAGGCAACAAATGGGGTAACTGAGAGGTTGATAAGGGAAGGAACTATTTACAATCCTGCTGGTAGCTCTGATGACATATTGTAATACGACATTGCGATCATCAGACAAACGACCCCCAAATGCCCATATCCTAACCCCGGGAATTGAATGTCACGTTACATGGTAAAGGGGAATTGAGATTGTGAATGGAATGAAGGTTGCCATTCAGCTGACCTTCAGATCCAAGGTGGAAGAGGCAGGAGAAGAGGAAGAGGAGACATGTCTATAGAGGAAATGCAGAGGCACGATATGCAACTGTGAAGACAGTGGAAGGGATCCTGCAGCCAAGGAACATGGGGAGCTTTAAAAGCTGGAAAGAGCAAGGCAATAAATACTAGAGCCTTTCAAAAGGAGCAAAGCCATACTGACACCCTGATTTTCATCAAGTGAGATACTTGCTAAACTTTTAAACTAAAGGACTATAAGATAATTTTGCACTGCTTTCAACCACTGAATTTGTGGTCATTTGTTATTACAGCAATAGGAAACTAATCCAGGCATGTTGCATTGGGTTAGTGGCATGGAAACTTCCATTCGTCTAGCGTTTAAATGTCGAAGAGGCAAGAAGCAAGAGGTTACTAGAATGTGGCCGAAGAGGCAAAAAGCAAGAGATTACCAGAATCTACAGAAACAGGCACAGGAAGGAGGCTACCTGACAGCAGGTGTTGTTTTAGCCAAAGTATGCAGGTTAACCACAGCAGCAGTGAGATAAGAAAGCCTGCGAATAAATGCCCTGAGGCCCCTCTCCTCACAGAATCCATTTCTCCTTCCCAGTAGCCAAACTTATCAGCTGGGACTCAGGGAATGTACCTGATTTGATCCAGACAGCTCAGCCTCTTGGTCATAATGCCTGAAGAAAAGGGTAAAAAATGGCCTTGAAGGTTCTACAGAAGGTGACCAATAAAATGTTGTTCAGACCCTGCTTCCTCCACGAGCTCCTGAACTCCTTGTGCTCTTTGCACCAAACGCTTCTAAAGAATTCAAGACCCCCGGCTCCAGTGTCTCCACTTCTATTCTCTTGAGTTCCTATCAGCTCTGGGCAAGAAGCCCACTGCTCCACTTGGTTAACCCTTCTCTCTCCATCATTTCTTCTCTTTTCCCTTGACTCCCAGGACACTCTTCTCTTGGATTTTTCCCCACTGCTCCTGTTCCCCTCAATTTTAGTTTTAGACCTCCATCTCCACTCTCCATTCCTCAGGAAGCACAGGGGGCTCTGTTGCTACCTATATTTACTCCCCCTTGAGCCTCGTCCTTTCTCTTATCATCACATTCAACATTTTAGAAAATGCCATTGTCTTCATCTCTAAAATATTCTGATTCTTCCTTTTGGATTCACTGCTATGATCCTGGGTCTTTGGGACTTGACATATTCTTGGAAATGACCTTTTGGACCTTTTGGACCTCTCCATTTTTCACCTCCACCAAACCACCTGTGCCCATACCCCATCTGTCTCCCTCCTCTACCCTTTTCTCCCTCCCCCAACTCTCCATTCCTCAGGAAGCACAGAGGGCTCTATTGGTACCTATATGTACTCCCCCTTGGGCCTGATCCCTTCTCTTATCACCACACTCAACATTTTAGAAAATGTCATTGTCTTCATCTCCAAAATATTCTAATTCTTCCTTTTGGATTCACTGCCATGATCCTGGTCTGCATCGCCATCATTAGCCTTGAATTTATTCCTTGGGTTCTAGCCTTCACCACCGTATTCCATCAAAAAGTGATTCTTAGTTATTGAATCAAAATTACTCTGCTCAAAACCCTTTCACAACCACCTCTTTTTTTTTCTTAAAACAAATGAATGCCAGAGTGTTTCCAGTAGCCTAAAGCCCTATGTGGTCCAGCCCCTAATGGCATCTCACCCACAGCTCCCTTAGCACATTCTCACCATGTGGCTGCTCTTTGCCTAGATACCTTCTTAGGGGTTTTGCAGAACTAAGTCCTTTATATTTATAAAAATCTATGTTCAGAGATCATCTTCTCTTTGCATCTTACCCTGGCAACCCTATTAGCACTCTCAGCATTCACTGGAGGATCTAATCTATCATATAATTGATGTATTTATTATGTTTATGGCTTTGGGTCATATTCCATGGAGGGGTTTCTATGCTGTTAACTAATTATAATAAATGGCTAGACTGTACTTGGCTCAAAGTAATGTTCTCATGAATAAACTGGTTAGCAAAAGATCTGAGTTAAATAGTTCACTTAGGAGGAATGTTTATGTCTAGGCAAGAAATCATGAGAGTTGAGTCAGGAAGAGGCAATGGGAAGAGAAAGGAATATATTTTGAAAGGCTTTCCATCAGTTAAAGAGCAAGTCTAGTAAGTGATGGTCCTGGGGGGTGGGACATATACCAGAAGCAAGGAATGTCAGGGCAATATGTGAACACATTGGTGAAACAGGCTTGGGCATATTTTAGCAGGAACCATGAAATTGGCTGTAAACATTCTGGAGGGAAATTCTCATTAACTTTCTTCAATGGCAGGTATGACTGCAAGCCCAGTAGGCTGATCTATCATTTGTCAAGTGAGGTCTCAACAAGATGATATTCATGCTTTTGTGGTAGAATCATAGTGGCTGGGTCCTGATGGCCAGGGGCTCCCCTAGGGTGAGGCCCATAAGACCAGACCTAGAATAGGCAGCTTTCAGAATAACATTTGCCTGAGACTGCATCCCTCTCCTGATTGCTTTAGCCAGCACAGTCCTTAAGATACCAATCGCCAGCCTCGGTTTCCCTCAGCCAATAGAAGGAAACAGATTTTGAGGAGAAGGAAAGTAGTTTAATTTGTTGACAAACTGAGGAGGGCAGCAGACTCATGTCTGAAAGACCACCATCCTGCTCTTTGGCAGAGGGCAGGGGTATTTATATAAAGGAGCAAAATGGGGGACAGGCAAGGGTGGGCATGTCCTTTGATGCAGGCGAATGGAGATTCCGGATAGGTGCC